GGCTAGAACGTAAAAAAAAAAAAAAAAAAAAAAAAAAGTACGCATGAATGGGAAATGCAAAAATTGGTCAGCGGCACTTCGCATTGTGTTCCAACTGGGCGATGTTTGTTGCACGCATGGGGGCTTTCCATTTTTTGGCTCCATGGCACATAATGGTCCCCATTTAGGGAAGAGGCGGGGAGGGCGCGTTTTTTTCCACCACCCCCGTTTTTTTTCCTCCGGGGAAAATCCTCACCGTTTAGCTTTGCTTGTGAGAAGAATGACTGCCCTTCCGACGGTGCTCTAAGCGTTACACAAGTGTGTACGCGCGGGGGATGAAGGGACGCTGGCGATGGGTTAAGCTCGGTGGGGCAAACGCCAAATGCTACGTAGGTGTCGAGCAGGCGGGCTTTCCATGCGCTTTCTGCCTTTACGGGAGTCCACAAAAGAGAACCAACTACAAATCGCAAAACACCAGGGTATCATCACCGAAAATGCAGGAGCTCTACTTTTCCCAAGGGGAGCCGAAAACATGGAGCACCGCAGCAGCGATATATATATATATAGCAGAAGGGTGACAGAGGGACGCCCATTGCGCCACACCCCTGTACATATATTTCATACAGCGGGACCACCGTGCGCAGTTTGTAGCAAAACCACGGGTGCGTACTTATTTTTTTTACCAGTAAAAAAAATAAAATTAAAACCTTTTGAATGATAACCATTCGAGGTAGGCTTCCCCTCGTTGTTGATTTTTTTTTTTTTTTTTTTTTTTTTTTTTTGTTGCTACATCCCTGCGTGGTTTTAAGTGTTTTTCTCTCAGGTGCCACTTTGCTGCCAACTTTGCTGTGGTATTTTTTTTTTTTTTTGTGTCACCACGGTATCCTTTTTTTTTTTTTTTTTTATGCCCTTTTGGGATTAAATAAGTTTTTTTTTCTCTCTCTCCATCTGCGCAGTCATTGTGCATGTTTCCCTTCTCATCTATATAATAACTTTGTCATTGCGTTGGCCCTACCACTTGATCAACTTCGCGCTTCCCCAGGGGGTTACCTCTCCAAATCAGCGCAGATAGAAAGTACTGCCCCTTGTGAGGAGAAGTACCGCGACCAGCGTCCCCAAGGAGAGTATTCCCTCGCGTATCCGTCAAGGTAAAGTGTGACGCTGCCCCGCATACATATGTGTCCGTGCGTCCGTGCATGCGTGCGTACAATACCGACAAGTGGTGAACACAACATCGATTGGTTAGGTGCCCACTGCGCCTCCGTTAGTAAATTGCTCTTTTTGCCTGTTACCCCATGCAGATGTTGAAGAATCCAGGTGCAGTCCTCGTGTTCAAGCCAAACACGAAGAGGGAGGAGGGTCGCAAGACCCAGTTGTCCAACATACAGGCGAGCCGCGCAGTGAGCGACATCGTGAAGACGACGTTGGGCCCCATGGCGATGCTGAAGATGATGCTGGACCCACTGGGAGGCATAGTCATAACGAACGACGGAAATTCAATACTGAGAGAAATAGACGTGGCGCACCCCGCGGCCAAGTCGCTCATCGAGTTGAGCAGATCACAAGATGAGGAAGTAGGAGACGGTACGACATCAGTGGTTATCCTGTCGGGGGAGTTACTAAGCATAGCAGAAATATTCTTGAAGCAAAAAATACACCCAACCATAATTGTTAATTGTTATATGGATGCACTGAACAAGGCGGTGAAATTTTTAGATTCTATATCGATTCAGGTAGATGTAAATGATGAAAAGAGTTTACTTAAAGCAATTGATTCATGTCTGAGTACCAAGTTTGTGAACAGGTATAACAAAATGGTGAGTCATTTAGCTCTGCAAGCAGTACAGTGTGTGAAGGTAGAATCCAATGTCATGGGAAAAAAAGAAATCGACATTAAAAGATATGCAAAAGTAGAAAAAATTCCTGGAGGAGATATCACAGACAGTTATGTATTAAAAGGAGTTATGCTGAACAAAGATATTGTACACCCTAAAATGAGAAGAAGAATTGAAAACCCAAGGATCCTTCTTCTAGATTGTACTTTAGAATATAAAAAGGCGGAGAGTCAAACGAATGTGGAAATACTCGATGAAGAGACATGGAATCAATTGTTGTTACAAGAAGAGATAGAAGTGAAAAAGTTATGTGAACACATCATCGACAGCAGATGTGATATTGTGGTTACAGAGAAAGGAGTATCTGATTTAGCTCAACATTTTCTCGTTAAAAAAAATATAAGTGTTATTAGAAGAGTGAGGAAAACAGATCTGAATAGACTTGAAAGAATTAGTGGTGCTACCATTGTTAATAGGTGTGATGAAATTGTGGAGAGTGATATCGGTACCAAGTGTGGTTTATTTGAAGTTAAAAAGATTGGTGATGATTATTATGCTCATTTTGTAGAATGTGAGAACCCACGAGCATGTACCATTTTGTTAAGAGGATCAACGAAGGATGTTCTTAACGAAGTTGAAAGGAACCTTCACGACGGAATGAATGTGGCGAAGAATATCATTATGGAAGGGAAACTACTTTATGGAGGTGGGTGTACTGAAATGAGAGTAGGACAACACCTCATCAGTCAAGCTAGCCAATATGATGATGCTAGAAAAAGTATTATGGAAGCTGTGGGTTCTGCCTTGGAAATCATTCCGAAAATTTTGGCCCAGAACAGTGGAGCCAATGTTGTAAAAACTATTAACGAGCTCAGGATAAAACATGAGACTGCTGGTGGAGAGAAGTTTGGGGTCGATGGCATCACTGGGGAGATCATTGATGTGTCCACGAAAAATATTTGGGACCTGCTTGCTGTGAAGAAGCAAATATACAAGAGCGCCATCGAGGCCGCGGCCATGATTCTGCGCATCGACGACGTGGTCAGCGGAATCGGCAAGGAGGACAAGCTGCAGAAGCCCGTGCAAAACGAGTTCGAGTAGGGCTCTGCACGTGCGTGCCGGTAAGAAGCTGGTCGTTCGCGCCGCACTGTACACACCGCGTGGACGCCGCACTTGTATACACACCCTTTCTTGTAAAAAAATTAATAACGCTGTGCGCATTTTTTTTTTTTTTATACAATCCCCGCTCTTGCGCGGACAAACTTTTCGCTCGACTCGAGCAAGTCACAAAAAAAAAAAAAAAAAAAAGTAATTACGTGGATGAGCATAGCTGACGTTACGGCAGAGCAGACGTTACGGAAGTGCGTCCTCGCCGCTTATCGCTTATCATCGCCGCTCACCGCTCATTCGCGCCAAGCAGGTGGTGAGGACGTTGAAGCAGTTCGCATTGAGGTGCGTGTCTCCGCCGAAGGGCAGGCGGATGTTGAGTCTAGTGCACGCGTCGATCACCTTATCCACAGTGACCCCATACTCCTCACTTAGCATGAAAATGGTCTCCGGGGAGTAAAAATTAATTATGTCCACAGGGTCCGCCATATTACTATACTCAATGAGAGTCACAATGTCCTTGGTCGTTAAATAATGACTGATCAATTCATTTGTGTTAACGAACTTGTGAACAATAATATCCCTGTTGATCGAATTGCCATACATGAGGAATTCAAATTCATTTTTCTTCAAAGCTTCCACCTCTTCCTTCCTCCTTTTCCTATACCTATTTATATTGTACGTAGTTTCACTAGACACCTTACATATAAAATCTCCAATGAAGTCTAGAGGCAAGCTGTGTTTAGAGTGAAATTCCTGTATGGTTTCTTGTAGTCCTCCAAATTTAAGAACTTCCCGTCTGCACTGTTCCTCCTGCTCTTCCTGCAACTGATTTTCAAATGATGATGCGGTTGAGGACTCGACGTTTTCTTCACTTCCGAATCGAACGACTTGATCTGGTTGTCTTTCATTTTCTTCCAAGGTGAAATTTTTTTTGAGTTTTTCCGCCATGGATATTTGCTCACTGATGTTGCAGTCGTTGACGATGGGCACCTTGGAGAGGTCCTCCTCGTCCCCTGCTGAGCCACCTTCACCGGGGCGTTCCCCTGCTGAGCCATCTTCACCGGGGCGTTCCCCTGCTCGGCGATGGTAACCGGGGCGCTCCTGCTCTGCCACCTCCGCGAACCTCTCCGTCGTGTCAATACGCAGGTAATCCACGGGGTCGTTAATAAAATTTGCTATTTCCATGGCGGCATCCAGCTGCTTTATTTTCGACTCGGTGTCTCCACAGCGCTCATTCTCCTTAAACTCCTTTAGGTTTTCTTTTAGTTTATCTAGCCTTATGTGGGAGAGCACATGTTTTTCCGGGTTCTTCAAAATTGTCCTGATGTCGTACTCGTGATTCTGCCTTATGCGCATAACGTCTTGTAGCCTCATTTTAATTTCTTTAATGGAACCGAAGGTGGGGTATCCCCTCTTCCTCAGCTCGTCTCTCACTTGTGCTTCGCTCATTTCTTCAATGTCCTCGTTTTTTATATGCACGAACTGGGACGACACGCGGTTGAAGAAGAGCTTCCTGTTGATCAGTTCGCCGGGTGCTGACTTGCAGGTGTTTCCGTCGGCGGCACTCCCGGCGCTGTCCTCGGACGTGTCTCCACTTTGGCCCCGCCTCTGCACTTGTGTCTGCCCTTCCCTCTGCCCTTGCCTCTGCATCTCATTGTAATACTTCAAATTTTCAACATTCTCGTCGCGCTCGATTTTGTTCTCCCTGCGCCCCTGCTCGTACAGCTGCAGGAAGGCCTTCTCCTTGTCCTTGAGTTCCTTCACCACAGTGTTGTCCTTCATTATCCTCTTAAACGCAGCGTCGACTAGTTTTCGCTCGTCTGCCGACTCGTCCTCCGTGGACTCGATGTTCTTCATCCTGTCCAGGTCCTTGGCGGAAAATTTAAAATGGAATTTGTCAACTCCGCTGTAGTCCCCCCAGGACAGGCGCCTCAGGATTTCTTTGTTTTCCCTTTCCTCGTGCTCCTCGAGCAGTTCATCCTGGGGGGGCTCCGTAGCCCCTGGGGTGCTGCTAGGCGGCGCCCCATCCGCACTGGCCCTATCTGCTGTGCTGACATGAGCAGTGGACCCATCCGCAGTACGGCCATCTGCAGCAGACCGATCTGCTGTGCTGACTTCCGCAGTGGGCCGATCCGCGGCACCGCCAGGCGGAGCCTGCGTAAACATAAACATGTAATCCTGAATCTTCTTCTCCACGGCGTCGTTGGGGGTGAAGGACTTTTCAATCTCCCTCTTCATCTTCTGCAGGTTGAGCTTCCTCGAGCTGTTAATGACTCTCTCGTTTAGCTCGTACATGTCCTTCTTTTCGTTCCCTTCATACTGCCTCTTTTTTTCATGTGCGCTTTCTTTAAGAATTTGCACCAAGCGATTGTACTCCTCCAGCATCTTCTCTTTGTCTAGACCAGCTAGCTGTTTGCTGTCCATCGTCTCGGCTTTCTTCAAATAGGAGTTGGCTAGTTTGGACAGGTGCGCTTCGTACTCTGGAGTGTCGACGTTGAGCATGTCTTTGTTTCCATCGGGGTTGCTTTCCTTCTCTTCCCTCTCCTCAACTGAGTTGCTGTTCTCCCCCCTTGACTCTTTTTTTTTTTTTTTCCTTTTCTTCTTCCTCCTCTCGTCTTGGTCATCTTCCACGTCATCCCCGTCGTCGTGCCCAGGGGAACTGGGGGACAGGGCTTCCTCACTGGGGGGCTGCAGCTGCACGTGGGGTTGGCCTCTGCTCGGGGCGTCCTCTTCGCCCCCTCCATCTGCGCCACTTCCACCCGATTGGCTGCTTCTTGCACCCGATTGGCCGCTGCCCCCATCTGAGGGGTCCAGGGTATCCTGACCGAGCATGTACAGGGGGGGACTCATCCTGAGGCCGTCCGCGCCCTCCTGCTGGGAAGCGCGCACCGTAATTAACATGTTGGTGTCTCTTTTTTTTTTAGCAAGAATGAACTTTTTTTTCTTCCTCTTTATGAGCGTTATATGTTTCATGTGGATGCTGTTCGCAGTGTTCTGCTTCTCTAGAGAGGAGATGTAACCAAGCCCTTTGTCATGCAGAGGGTTCTTCTTTATCACCCCACCACTTTTCTTGAAGAGCGCATGCAGTAGATCCAGTACACTACAATAGAGTAGAGCTAAGCCAATGTACATCCTCTTCATTTTTCTTAAGAGGGTCAACAAAGGAGTGGAAGTCCTGATATGTCCTCCATTCTACGCAGTTCCGTTGAGCGAGCCAGTGTGTTTTGTTTTGTGACCCGGGTTGTGTGGGGTGTTTAAGTCCTGTGGCATGTTGCACCAGCTTGAGGCATTAGCCAGGACGTACTAACGAAGCAAGGAGCATACAAGCAGCAACATGTTTGCATTACCACAGGAGAGAGATCACCCCATCGGGTTTTCCTTTTTCCGCGGGGTCCTTTTTACAATGTGTACATTCTGCTACACTTTACACAGTCGGCGTCACAGCCAGTCAGCTAATCGTTTTGCTTATCTTTTTTTTTTTTTTTTTTTTTTTTATGCCCACTTACGAGAGTATAACAAACGGCACAGAGGAGGAAACGACCAAATTGTCAATTCGCTTCTACCCGTTGCAGGTGTATATACGCGAGGAGCAACTGCATGGACGGAGATAAATCAACCCTTTGCCAACGTGAACGCGAACGAGAACGTGAACGATAAAGCGAACAAGTAGAGAATGGGTCAGCAAAAATGTGTCATTTGACGGAAAAGCACAAAGTAAAACTGTTAGGTAAAACCGCAAGGTAACACGCTGCGCAGAAGAGCAAAAAGGGCATAGCAAATCTCATACTCGACTTCTCTCTCCCCCCCTACGTGCGCCAAAATGAAGAAGGCCGCGTTCTTCTCCACGCTCAAGTACGTCCGGGTCCCCTCCCCGCTGACCGTGAACAGGAACATGAGACGAGTGAGTTACACGAAGGGCGAGCGGCGAGGCGCGCCGTGACCGCGTTGCTAAACTTCCCCAAGAGGGGCCTGCAAAAAACGGTTGGCCCGCACGAGCCTCAGCACGTGAACATATTCGTCTGCAGATATGCATGAAAATGTTCGCGTATATATGTGCATGAGAGTACACCCCTGTCTCGCTTTCCCCCACCCCCAGTTCAACATGGCCGAAAACGACCGGAAGATCTTCTTCTCCTTTAACCTGTTTTCCGTCTTTCTGTTCACGCTGCCAATAGTTTACCTGGCCAAGGTAAGCCAAAATATGCCAACAGCTAGCTGCAAGTCGGGAAGACCTGCACCAACTCGATTATGTGTGCCACCCACCAGTAGGGAAGCAATTACACAAAGTGGCGAACGCATGCCACACACATAGGGACAGTCCAGACAATTTTCTGTGTCACCCCCGGTGCGGCCCAAGTGTGCATTTCTGTGCCCTACAGTTGGTGAAGTGGCTAGCTTTTTTTTTTTTTTTTTTTTTTTTTTTGTTCTCCCCACCAGAAGCAACAGGGTATCCAGCTGGCCCAGAGGACTGCAAGCACGCGTGCTGTATG